GCTGCCCAAATGGCTGAAAACCACTGGGACCAAGATGGGGCCTCCCCATTTTTTTGCCAGCCACTATTAGCATTCCTCCCGTGCATTTTAGCGCTTCCACCCAACTCTGTCCCCCCTTAGGGATTCTGTCACATTCTTCCCACTACCCTCACCTCCGACCTCAAAACGGTAGGTGGTCAGCACCGAATATAAGTAGCACTCCTGAGTCCTATGATATTAATTAGTCCCAAGACATTGTTTTATGCAGATTTTTTAAAATGACAAATGCGTATATGCTCCTCCTGACTGCCACCCCCTTCAGACATTGCAAAAGCAAATTCAGTAATAATTGAAAAGTTCCTGCACCCCCAATTCAATTCCTAAAAGAAAAATATGCACACCGACGATTAGACATGTATTCCTCAAAGCTACTTAAAAGTGAATACGTCATTATGTGTACTTCTGGAATTGTATTTACAAAAACGGAAACTGCTGTAGATTATTGCTCAGCAGCATACATTTTATGTCATTTAGTACCTATCTGTTTTATTCTTTTCGATGATTATGTGGTAGTACAACTAAATTGATGTACCATAATTTGTTTAACCAGCCTTATCTTGACCCTCTATTTCAAACACTACCTTGAAAATTCTTTGATGTTCTTGTGCAAAACTTAGTGAACTTATGCAAGTACTTCTGTAAAATAGAGTTTTAGAAATGGAAGAGCTGAGTGATGATAGCCCTCTTTTTTAAAGGTCAGGCTTATTGATGTTTATAATTTGCATACAGTAAAACTTAACTTTTTATATGCACAGTTGGATGAATTTTGGCAAACACATATAGTCATGTAAAGACCACTACAAATGAGATATACATTTCCAGCACCCTCCCCCAATTTTCCCCCTTGCTCCCTTTTAGTCATCTTTTCCCTCTACTCCCAGCACCTGACAATCTCTAATATGATTTTTTACTTTATCTTTTGCTTTTTCTGGGATGAAATAATTTGGGTCTGTTTCCCAGTTTCTTTCACTTGGCATACTGCTTTCAAGATTCATTTATGTTGTGTGTATTAGTGGTCTTTTCTTTATATTGCTGAGTACCACCACATGGATGTACCACAGTTTGCTTATCCACTCACCAGATGAAGAACAATTGAGTTGTTTTTAGCTTTTGCTCATTATAATTAAAGCTGATATAAACATTTATGTATAGGTGGACATGTTTTCACTTTTCTTGAGTAAATATCTAGAAAGAGGATTATAGGATCATAGAGCAAATATATGTTTAGCTTTGTAAGAAACTGCCAAACTGTTTTTCCAAGTGGCTGTACCATTTTGCATGGTGACTGGCAATACATGAGAATACTAATTGCTCCACATGCTCATCAACACTTGGTATTATTAGGTTTCTAATTTTTTAGTCTTTCCCACTCTAATAGGTGTGTAGTAGTATTTTATTGTGGTTTTAATTTGAATTTCCCTAATGACTCCTGATATTGAGATCTTTTCAGGTCCTTATTTGTCCTCTGTATATCTTCTTTGTTGAAGAGTAAATTCAAACCTTTCCCCTATTTTCGTGGAGGTAGGAGGATAGTATTGTTTCACTATTGTTGAATTGTAAGAGTTCTCTGCATGTATTTTCTGAGTCTGAGGCTTGCCGTTTACTTTTATTAACAGTACCTTTCGAAGAGCAGAAGTTTTTAATTTTGATGAAGTCCGATTTATCAATTTTTCTTTTATGGTTTACATTTTCTGTATACTCTTTATAAAATCCTTGCCTAACTCATAAGGATTTTATCTTATATTTCTAAGGTTTTTCTTTTAGAATTTTTAGTTTTAAGTTTTATTTAAGCCTATGAGCCATTGTGAGTTAATTTTTCTAAATAGTAGGAGGGAAGGATTGAGATTCATCCTGTTTTTGCACATGCCGTTCAATTGCACCATTTGTTCAAAACTTTCCTTTCCCGCCTAGAGGATTCACTGAATCCCCTTGGCAACTTCAATGAACATCAGTTGACTATATATGTGTGAGTCTATTTTTGAAGTCTGATATCTACTTTTAAAATGTGATAAATGATGTGCCAATTTGCCCTCCAAAAAAGGCAACTTATCCTCCCACCAGAAGTGTGTGACAGCGACTTTACAGCTGAATCTCAGGAACAGAACTGGGGTGCCGCGCTGCAGTCCCTTACCTCGGCCCAAACACAACTCTTCTTAAAGTCTCCTGAGCTGATATCGCCTCACGCCTTGGTCGCAGGTAGCTTACAAACTACTGTTTGCAACGGAAAACTCTTTACGACTAAGTCAATTCACTTTACCGCGTAGGATCCTGCAAGGCAGCTGCTCTGTTGTACAAGTGAGTTCAAGTCTCAGCCGGACCCCGCGGAGTTTTGCGTTTTCCTCTCCGGTAACTGCCCATTTCTCCCCTTTTCTGAGTAAAACTCTTCTCCAGCTTAATGATCTACTTAGTTCCTGGAGTGAGAAAGTTATTCTTCAAAGCAAAGGAGTTCTCAAGACGTAATGTGACCCAACCTGGGCCGAGCCCTGAGCAACTCCGAAATGGGCACCGCCCTTAGGACGTTTGCAAACTCCCCGGGAGCGGGTGCAAAGGGCCGGAAAGTAACCTCTCCCGACAGGAGACCCCGCTGCCTCCGAGCCTCCGAGGGGGCGCTCTCCCCGCGGCCGGTCCTGTCCCCAAGCCCACTCGCCGGCGCGCGGAGCAGCTAACTAGGGTTGCTGGATTTGTGTATAAATCTTTTTTGTTCTTTATCTGAAATTCAAATGTAACGGGGCGTTTTGTATTTTATCTGGCAATCCTGCCTCAGACCTCGGGCCGGGGCGGGCTTTCTTCGCTGCGGGACACGCGTCCTCGGTCACTTCGTCTGTCTGAGAGAAGACCGCCTAATTCACCGAGATCATTCAGGCGAGTCCACCTCCTGCCCTTCCTTCCCCACCAACGCCACAACCCCATCCTGGAGACGTCTGAAAAACCAGCGCAGGTCCCGGCCATCCAAGCGCTCAGCCTTCCAGGAGGTGCGAAAAACTGTCCTTGCGGCGTGTGTGTGTGTGCGTGTGCGTGTGAGTGTGTGTGTGAATGTGAGTGTGTGTGAGTGTGTGTGTGAATGTGAGTGTGTGAGTGAGTGTGTGTGCGCGCGCGCTGTGGAGCTGCGGGGTGCCAGGCGGGATAGAACACCCTCTAATTTTCGCCATTGTCCCCGCCTGGTCTCTTAGGCCTCCTTGGACCCCGCTGAAATGGCGGAAACCTCTGCCTGCGTCCTCTCCAAAGATTCCCAGAAGCCGCCGTCCGAAGCAGCCTATTCGAAAATAATTCCCAAAGCTGAGGCTCAGGGACAGGAAATGTCCACTGAAAGAGTAAAAACCTATCTAGATGGAAATAAAGGAAATCTCCGATTGAAAAACTAACACCAAAACCCATCAACCAAACAAACCAAAAAACACCCAACGTTGCTGATTTCAGGCTGGGAGGACCGACACAGATGAGTCAGGTGCAAAATTAACAGGAAACACTGTTTTCTTCCAAATAATGCAGCAGCTGTAACTGTCACAGCAATCACCTGTTTGAGTGATTACCACCTTCTTAGGACGCCCAGATCCGCTTTGTCACACCCTTCTATTACTGGGGATACCTAAAACCACCCTCTCCTCATGACAATGCCCAATCCTTACTTAAACACCCCTGCTGCTACTCCAGACCTGATCCCCGCTTATTTTAGAGTCTCCTCGGAATCCTTTAAAGGAACGCAAACCTTAGGAAAGATACTTCTCTCCCTCCTCTCGCTGAGCGGCATTTCCTGGTTATTATGGAGCATCTCCTCACTTCAGTGATTCAATAAATTTGATTTTGTCAGACTGCAGGTTTGTTCCTGATGCTGATGGTTGGCTGGTGTCTTTAACATCATATAAGCTTGCTCTGTAGATTGTCACTATGTGGACAGAAAAAATAGGGGCTAGAGGATTAATCTTGGCAGAGCTGGTAAGGTTCAGGATAGACACTCATTATGTTGGAATGATGGGAGAAAAGTGCATTCTGAGGGAGAGATGATTTTACCAAAGAGGACAGAATCTAGATTAACCATGTTTTTGAAGGAAAGAAAAAGATGAAACAAAACTAGAGCAGTAATTTCAAACTTTAGCACAGGTCAGGATCAACTAGAGATCTTGTTAAAGCACGAATTGCTGGGCCCCAGTCCTAGAGGAATCTTGTATTTCTAAGAAGTTTCCAGGAGATGATGATGACGCTGTTGCTCCGGGGACCACACTTTTGAGATCCACTGAATTACAGCAATTTCATCTGTATATAAGAGCTCATGCTTTGAATCTAATGATATGATGTCAGACCTCTGATTTGGACATTTTAAATTATCATTTTCATAAAACAATCCAATCAAACCACACCAGAGGAACCCCAACAATTCCTAAAGTCCATTAAATCTTGAATATTTAATCAGCCCAATTTACAAACTGCTAGTGGTTATTCAGAAAGTCTGTGATAAACCAAAGCCACCAGGCTTATGAGAACCCAGAATTCCCAATCATTTCCTTCTTGCTGTGGGTGTTCGTGCTTCCATTTAGATGATCCGTGACAATGCAAGTTGAAATAATGATTCCTCTTACAAGGGCTGCATAAACAGGCATAGTCTGATCTTCTGTCCATTGTGTTGGCTGGGAGTGTAAATCAACACAACTCCTATGGAGGAAAGATGACAATATCTTCCAAATGAATATACCCTAGAACACAGTATGTCCACTCCTAGGCATTTATATTACAGATATAAACACACAAGCAAAATGGTGTATCCAAAATTGTACATACATATAATTATATTTAGGTATATAATTATATAATTATGTTTAGGTATATAATTATATTTAGACATAGGTATGGATTTATTTACCTGTTTCAACAAGGAACATCTATATATATTGTCTTGCACCATGCTCTTTTTCACTTAACAATATATCTTGGGGAGCTTTATTTTCTTATATACACATACTTTGCTTCTGGAAGGATATATGAGGATACATGAGGATACAGTGTCCTACTGGTGGAAAGGGCAATTGGTAAAATTTTGTATACTTTTTGAATCATGTGAATGCAGTACTTATTCAAAAATGGAAATAATAAAATAAATGAAGAAATATATATATATTTTTCTCTAAAGATCAGCTGAGATGGAAGTCACAAGTAGAAACTACACAATACTAACATTCTTTGCCTTGCTCAGGAAGAAATCCTTAGTCCTAACCGGGAATGTTGTGTGGAATGCACTTTTTAGTTCTGTCATATCTCTTAGAAAAGAGACACACACTCCTCCTTGTCAGAGAGAGGGATCCTAGAAGGAATGCTTGCTTTCCAAGTAAGCATAAAAGATAATAGTTGAAAACTGCAGTAGAGGAAAATTGGCCTGAAAATGCCTTAAATAACCCATAAAGCTTAGTATAATAATTTTGTGTATAGAACTTTATAGATGATTTTTATCAGGTACTTTAAATTTGTTAGGTAATGCTTTTCTATGATCCTCAAGTGATTCTTCAGTTGTTTTCTCAGTGGGGAATCCCTGCTAAGCATAAGTTTTGAGGGAATGAAACATGAATCAAATAAATCAACTAACAAATTGTTCACAGCCTTAATAAGTGCTACTGAGGAAGCAGAGAACAGGGAAGACTATAGGGAACTATTCAGCTGGGTGGTGAGTAAGGAATTAACTCACCAAAACAAAGTTATTATCCAGATCAAGTAAGTGGGAGTCAGCCAGCCGACGAGGATGGGATTCGAACCCACGCGTGCAGAGCACAATGGATTAGCAGTCCATCGCCTTAACCACTCGGCCACCTCGTCACGTGGAAGCCTGCCTTATTCAATTTCTTCCTCCATGCCATGCTCCCAGAGTTTTTGTTCACAATATCAGAGTATGTAATCGCCCTGGAATCCTTACTACTACAGCCTGAGTCGGGTATCTTAAAGCACATTTCACAACCACCACAAAACATTTAGAATGGTGAAGTTATTTGGTTTCTGATAACAGGTTGAACCTGATAACCCGATAGCAACCTGATAACAAGTTGAACCGGTGCCAGACACACACTGTCGGACTCGTCGACCCTGCACCGGGCTCCAGCCAGCCGCCCCGCGTGGCCCTGGAGACATAACGCTGAGACTTTCACGGGGCCCCTCTGCGGCCGTAATCTGCATTCGAGGGTCCGATTTCCCTGCCTCCCGATCGAAACTTCTCCGATCTTGTTTTCTGTGAGGTATCAGAAACCTGGCTCTGGGATTCCTTTTATTTGCTTCTGAAATATGCTCGACAGCCAGGAGACGCCCCCCGTTCTCTTTTATTATTTTCTCTAGGACTTGGTATTGATCAGTTTATGATAAATCAGCAACAGGTGAGAACGTGTTTTGAAAAGAAGTAGAGAAGCGCAGGCGCCCCGATGGGGTTGCTGTGGCTTTGGTCAGGACCCCGGGAGAAAGGCAGTCTTCTGCAAGGGCAAGACGGCGCAGCCTGCCTTCTGCCGACGCTGGGAAGGGCGGGCGGGCGGGGCGGTGACCCCTGGTGCAGGCGTCAGGAGGCAGAGTTCTTGATGTGGCTCTTTCCTAAGCCACATCACTAACTCCAGTTCCCACTTGGAAAGCCAAACTGAGTAACCTCTACCGTCCTTCCAGCTCTGACAACCCCAGTGATGAAATGACCACCCAGAAAAGAAGCCTCTTGCACTCGTGAGAGTCTGTGTGCCTTTTGATTTAGCGCAGAATTTTGGAGGGGGGAATTTTCCTTACTAAAATGTTGGTGCCTTCTCCCTTCCTATGAACAGTCTTACCTCTGTTCTCTGCTTCTTTGGGAGGGCCTCCTTTTTTTCTCATCCATGTTTCTTCACGGAATTTAAAATACCTCACAAAACTATCATCAGGGACACTTCATTCACAATATTGAATGAAACAGTCTTTATTGTTCCTTTGAGTGGGATAAGTATATTGCAGTTTTTCTTACACTTTGAATCATCCACTATGCCTCACACTCACCCTTCAGGGACTCAAGGTGAACCTCATTTCTTAACTTCAGAATTAGTAACTAGGGGAAGCTTTGAGGGAGGAATTTCTTCTATTAACTAAATAGAGTTTCACTGAACTTTGACTTAGACCCCTCTCCCTCCAACAACAGAGCATGGAATATATTTGTTTTGGTCATCACATTACACCAGTGCCAGAGTAAGCAAACAATGACTATTGTTAAATGAACTAACGAAGCATTCTAGATTTAATACAAAATCTAAGGACTGGAATTAAGTTACCTAGAAAGAATATTTTCAATTACTTGAACCTCTTGGGATATATATACACACACACTCTCTCCCTTACATATAGCACAGTGGATTTAATAGTTAAATATTAAAAACTACTCAATGTTCACCTAAATAGAATGCTTAAATAACGTATGATTAACAAAACATCACAGTGGTATGTGAGCATTAATAAAAATAGTACAGATCTATATGTAGTAAATTACAAATATTATCCTACTGTTAAGTTTAAAAAAGGGGGGGTGCAAGAACAATATATATATAGCATTTGTGTTCTACATGATAAGCTGTGAGAGTTTCGTTTTTTAACATTGATGAGGCTACTTAGCTTTAGCCTCAATTTTATGAAAGTCCTAAATTAGACTTTTCATATTATCAAAAGTAGTATTATCTATGTATATGCATATCTGTGTATGTATTATACATACAACCATTGTATATTTTTTTTAAGTTAAATTAAGAGTTTTGAATATATCCCAATATTTTGAAATCTTATTTGGCATTTATTTTTTATATACTGGGAATGAAGATGGCATGAATCTTTTGCAACTTCTGGAAGGCTCTGATTACATAAACATAAAAAATATCCTGAAAGACATATACCAATTGTTAACAGTTGATATCTCTAAGAGTGAGACTATAAAGCTTTTAGACTTTCTATATTTAACATTTTTTGCAATATTTTATTTTACTTTTTTTTATCATGAGTACATGTTACTTAGTAATTAAATTTTTAAAAGTAAAGATAGGCTTAAATTATTTAAAGGCAGAAGAATAGTGAACAGAGCCAAATGCTGTTCAGAAATGAAGATATTAGGAAATGACCTCTAGATTTAACAACATCCATTTTTATGGATGACAGGATGGAGTTTCATCTTAACATCTTACAGTTCGAGCTGGCAGACCCTACCTGTAAGAGGTCTAATTCCACAAACTACTTCAGGACAGAGGAAAACATTCTTTTAATTGTGCTCTATAACATAGTGATTGTAATTGCTATGTTTTACCCCAAACTCCTGCCTTCTTCCTACCAAAGCTTCCTAATCTTGTTTCTTAATTCTTACTAAACTACAGGGGATCAGGGCAATAATTCCCCACCTTTTCTCAGTACAGCTATGGGTTACATTCCTATTTCCACAAGGAGAGCATATGATTTCCAGGAAAATATACCTGATTACAAACCCATATGAACAGCATTCTCATTCAGTGCCCTGCATTAATCTCCTGCTTCAGCCCCTTTCCCTCATAACATGCTTATCAACCTGACGCTTCAGCTCTGAAGCCTTTGAGATGACCTCACAGTCCTCTGTGCTGATCTTCCAGTTTTTCTCCCCTTTCCTACATGAACAGATGTGGCTAAATCACCAAGTCGTCTGGGGGTTTACTATTCAAGCTTGGACCATCTTTGTTAAGATCACTTTTAATATTCTGTAGATGCAGAAAGATGGGAGACTGCAGCAAATCTACCAGGAAACAAACTGGCACTTTGAGCATGATGAAATCTCACCATCCATTCATAAATTCTGTCAACATTTATTTAACAAATGTCTTTT